CGAAATGAGCGGATTGGTGGTGTACAAATATGTACTTCTCAACTTTTGTTCTCATAATATTTTCTCTATCTTATTCTATTCACACTTAGACTTAATTTGGGAACTTGGTTAGAAGTGAAATTTTGGCTTTTAATAATTTGGAAACTTTTTGGTCATATTATTTCTTCTTTTTTTTTCCACATTTTTTCCCAAAAAAATAAAAATAAAATATCTTTTAACTAATTTTTCAAAACAAGCCTTAATCTATATATATATATATATATATATTCTGCAGTAAAAAAAAATCTTACCTTACCTCCTAACTTTTTTGATTATGACTATAAGCAAATGTAAAGTATCTTGTTAGTTGTATTAATATATTCAAAAGAGATAGAGACCCCAATTGAACTATTGAGAATTTTAATATTCTCTCGTGTGAGTTTTTTGATAATTTGATCCAGGATTTTATGCAAAATTATTAAATATTTCAATATTTAATTTTTTTTTTATTGGGAGGAATGTTGACTTTATAGCTTTGTATGATCTCGAACAAGGTAATTATTCAGTAATTTCAGAATATGGACACGTGATATTTCATAGTATTATGATTAGTAAAAAAAGTAGGTAGATGGGATATCATGTTGAGTGATTGAGAAATATAAAAAAATATATTGAATGATAATTGATTAGAAAATATAAATACATGATACTCTAAAAATATTAAATAATTTTCTCTTGAACAAGGCACACCATACTTATATCAAATGAGGCATTATATTCTATAGTACAATTTTAACCTTTAAAATTTGATTGAATATTATTAAATGAGAGTCGTCAAATATCAACGTTCTTTTTTATTTGACCCAGATGCTTCTGATCTAAGGCCGATAATAGTAATGCTGAACAAACATAGAGTTGAGTTGAATTTGGATTAGATGTGGAGTGAGTTTAAGTGAGTATTTAAGATTTAGGTATTGTCTGACATGTGTTATTTTAGCACATCATTTTATTTTGATCACATCACCCCTTTATTATATCATTTTAATCCCAACCTACATTTCAAATATTTTCGTAAAAAGTCAAAAAGTATACTAATTTGGAACTTTCCAAACAACCCTTTACTTATTTAGTAGTTATTTTATTTTTTGTATATACTTATTTTTATCTTTAATGACTTTATTAACAAATTAAAAATTTTAAATTTCTAGATTTAGTTTGACGAAACGAATTGAAAAATTAATTTTTTTAAAAAAAATTCACAAAAAAAAGAGGCCAAAAATAGTGGTATTTTTTTGGGCTTATTTTAGCTTTTTTTTTAAAATTTTTTAACTTTTTAAATTCATCTACACAAGACAAATAGAAAAAATAAGTGTGGGGATATATTTTCTAAGTACCAAAACGTGGCAAGGTGACGCCGACGTGTCAGCCGAGGTGCCACGTGTCCTGGTCGTGACGCCGAGGTGATCTCGGCAAGGCCGAGGTTATCTCCGAAGATATCAGAATCCGAGATAAGCGGATAAAGGACAAGAGTCCTAAAATGAAGAAGAAACTCAACCTGGATATGGACAAGAGTCCTACATTGGGAGAAGACTTCAGTTTGAGTAAAGATAAGACTCTTAGAGAGTTTATCCTAATCTCACTGGGAGTCCCAGATTAGCAGTAATCCTGAGTCCATAGAAGTTAGACTTCTATTGGGACTAGGTTTATGTTGGCTATAAAAGAGAGGCACCCCATGGGTCTAA